TTTATCGTTTGGTGTTGGTGGGGGTCGTGTGTGGACGGGTGGCTGGTGTGTGGTTGTGGCTGGTGGGTGGTCGTGTATTGGTGAGGGTCGTGGTGGGTGGTCATGGATGGTGGGTGTACTGGTATTGGTGGGTCGTGGTGGGCCGGTGGTGTTGGTGGTCGTGGCTGGTGGTACGAAGCAACATGAGATTATTTTTAATATATTATTTGTATTAATTTTGTTACTTGTATTAATTTTTTTTTGATGTAAATGTAATATTAGAACAAATAATTAATAAAAATATTAATGCTTTTACATATGTTTTATTTGTGTATCAATTTATGTGAAAAATCCAAAAAAAAAAAAAATTAATTTTTATACCCATATTGGGCAGCGGTTTGGCGCCAAAACCGCTGCCCTTTCTCTAGTAATGGCAAGCGCTTTTGAACCGCTTGCCATTTAAATGGAAAATGACAAGCCCCCTAAACCCATGTGGTTCAAAACCGCTTGCTTCATATTCAGCAGCATTGTTGGTAACGTCGAAATCAAGATTTATGGAGATTGGAACATGTTCTTCTTTAGGTAATACTAGTAGTACTCCAACGCCACATCCCTTTTGGTTTGAGGCTCCGTCGAAGTATAAGGTCCAAGTATCATCTCCAGTGACCATTAAGTCTTCATCTGGAAATTCATTGTCTTGTATTGGCGTCGAGTCTTCTATTGGAAAATCTGCTAGAAAGTCTGACACACGGATCCTTTGATAGCTTTTTTGTGGCATGAACCTTCCATCAAACTGGGCTAGATTGACTATCCATCTTGATATGCGTCTATTGAGTGTAGATTTCTCGAATAGATACTTGAGTGGATCTAATCGGGAGACTACGAAGACGGTATGCACCAGCATGTAATTGTAGACACCTAAAAATGTCTCTCCAAAACCAAACCCGATGATGAACAACCTTTCACCGCTACTATTGGTCGGGTTCAGTATTTAATCCCGAGAGTGCTTAAAAAAAACGTATTTAATTAAATTCATATTTTTGAACAGTCCATGGATTGGTCTTGATGTTTGGTAAAAGCATAGTTTTTATTTCTGCCCAAACTTATTATTTAATTTTAGCCCAAACCCTTTTTTATTTTTTTATTTTTGGCCCAAACCTTTTGTTTATTTTTATTTAATTATTTTCTTATTTTAGCCCAAATAATAATAAGTCAGAAAAGGCCCGAAATTATCAATCGGCACTTAACTGTCGAATGAAATTAGGGTTAAAAATGTATTTAGATGGAAAAGTGGGCTGGAAATTCCCGCACCACGGTAGACAGCCATCGTGTCATGGGAATCCTTCCCGTCCGGCGGTGGGATTTCCCGTGACACGGGAAGTCTGCCGTGACACGGGACGTTTCGTGTCTTTTCAGCGTAAACCCTTAACGCGTTTTCTTTCCCGTTTTCTAAAAATTTCCCGCGTCACACTAAAAATGTACCGTGTCACGGGAAAGTTTGTCGTCTGATGGTGGGACTTCCTGTGTCACGGTACAGTTTGCTCTGTCACGGGATACTTTTTTAGGGTTTTTATCATTTTAGGGTTGCGTGTGCTCCCTCAGCACATTTTCCCTATAAATAACCCCTCATTTCTGATGTACGGGGCACCGATTAATTCTCTGATTTATTTTTCTCTCTTCTATGATTTAGCCTAAATACTAGCCTACCCTTCTTATTTCAAAATTCCTTCTTCAAGAGCTCAAAGGAGTCCATACTTTACTCGTGGTTCTGTCCTTAAGCCAAGGCGTGAAAGGTAGAACTGTTTGAGGGTTTGCCCCCAAATCAACTCTACTTAATTTAATTTAATTTAATTATTGTTTTATTATTTCCTTGAAGTTACTAACTCGTTTATTATTTTGTAGTTGCAAACAAACATAATCAAAGTAAGAATCATGTTCCTTTTATTTCTCTTATTTTTCTAACGATTTTATGTTGTTGGAATTGTGATTAGATTGCTTCCAATATTAATGTATATTCTATTGTTATTTATTGATCACTATATTACATGTTTAAAGAGAATATGTAATTTAAAACCACGCCTAATAAGATAATTTGGACAACCGGTTTAGGATCCTTTTTAATCTTGTTAATTAATTCAAGTGATCACAAATATTTTAGAATTATATGTGTGCATTAATATTCAACCAATTTAGTTAAATAATAGTTTGGAGCAAATTGAATATTTTGTTTGTATGCCTTTGAGATCACATGAATGCTTTTCAATGTAAGAATCGAGAAGAGGTCAATACAGGCGAATGTGACTCCATGACTCACTTCGTACCATCATCCCCGATCCTCCTTTCGTGGTTCCGAACCATATGGAGTTAGTAATCTCATGGATTATGAATGGGGTGTAACCTTCACGGGTCAATCGTTGTTGCCTATCGTTGTCCCTTATCGTGGTTGCCTTTTTATGATCCGTGAACGGTTTACAAGTTCCTTAAAAACTTGTTGGCGACTCCCTACTTTGCTTTGTCCCTAATCGTTGTCCCTAATCGTAATGTTGATTCCCACTTCCTATGAGTGCCAAGCATATTCACCACATGCTTTAACGTAGGCGCACTTCAAACGACACCTACAATTTGGCGACTCCACTGGGGAGGATTCCTGATTATTTATCGATTTGAGTGATCGGTATTTAATTAAGATGAGTGGATGAGACTTGAAAGATTCTTGAAAAAATATTCCTGTGATTAATTTGGCATTTTTGAATCTGCATAGATGTTTTAACGTCGCATTCAGGTCTGTCCCGTAGGAAAAATTGGATAACTTGGTTACGCGTGAAGGAAAACAGGGCACCAGTCAGATCTTCTGACTGCCGTGCCACGACAAAATTCGTCGTGTCACGGTACAATGCACCGTCTGACGGTGCACAGTACCATGACACGGGAATTTTTGCCGGGTCATGGCAGTCCTAAAGTCAGTCCTGTTTGGGGTAAAATAACCCTCTATATGTGGACCAATGCCGCCGCGACACGTGTCCACAAGCTCAGCTCTTTATGAGCCAATTAGAGCATGACACGTGTCACTCAATGATAGAAGAGAGATAATGGGCTCCAAGCCCATAAACCTAGAGCCTTTTAGGTTAAATGACCTAAAAGGCACATATCCCAATGCTCTATAAATACTGATCATTACATCAGTTTCAGAGATCGAATTCTCTCTCCAAGGGGCAATGCCCCCCACATTTACTCTCCCTTCTCTCTACTTTCTCTCTCTAAAATACATTATATTGATCACTGACTTGATCGTCGGAGGCGGACCTCCAGCCCCCTCCCCGGGGTCCGTTGTTTTGCAGGTGATCGGGCCGTTCGAGTGTTGCATTGCAGATCTGTCTCCCGAGGGACGTACACACCCTCCATTCGGGTACGTACAAAAAACCCCGAAACATTTGCCGCCGTCTGTGGGGAGACACATCTGTAATGGCACAACGGTAGTGGATCACCATCTCAAGAGGGGAGCCTCCTTTGGGGGGCAGCAGGCGTCATGAGGCCGGATGTCAAGTACAGCAGGCGTCATGAGGCTGAATGTCTTGAGTCAGGCGACCAAAAAGGCCTGTCAGACTAAGTCATGCAGATTTGAAGTTTAAAGGGCAATGCCGTTTAATCTAAATTTTATTAGGGGAGAGACGGCTGGCCAACTCCAATATTTTAATCCGACTCATTTAATGAGCCGACCGCATGCTCAGGCCACCCAGCCGACCTTCATGCTATCTTTGATTGATAGTTTGATACTATCAACATCACACCAATTGTAATATTATTTTTATAATATTATACAACTGCTTTTCAAGAGAAACTCTTGTAATTAGTGGGCTACATGCGGCATTTACATGTGGCAAGTAAAGTTCATTTCCAGACTCAAAAGCTTTCGATAGGTAGCAAGTTTGATTTATTAAACTCCATATTCCACTCTTTCATTGAATCAAGAGAATAGCATAGGCGGCAAAGTTATGATACATATTTTCATGAGAGCTTGTATATTCACCATGTGTTGAAGATAAGCTCCCGGTCGTGTATCATTCAAAGCTGCCTATGAGTGTCATGCGGCATATTCATTCAACATTTCTCAGTGCACCCAATGCTACATGCTATTGATACATATGGCAAGCCGGCAACCATGTTGAGCATCAATATATCGTGTATGGATGACATACAGCTTCTAGGATCAGCCGTTGAGCTACCTAGGCGGCCAAGCTATTTTCTTGTGTTAACATACACAAGCGGCCAAGTCTTTTTCTTGCGTTAGCATACACAAACGGGGAGTATGCCAACTCTTATTATAGCAGCCGGTCAGAGCTAGCAACGGTGGCAGCCTGTCAGATCAGAGCTATGAACGGTGCCTCAATTAAGCGGCTGCCATGGCTCAACCTCTCATCAATTTATCCCGGCTGTATGGGTAGTTTTTCTCGTCAGTTAGGCCGGCTGCAAGGGCAGCTTTGCTCACCAATTAAGTCCTCTTGTAGGGCTTCCTTGTGCATTAATTGTACCCGGCTGTCTGATGCTTTGTTAATTCTCAAAGACCAGCCGTATGGGTGCTTTGTTCTTCGTTAAGTCCGGATGCGTGGCGGTTGTAACATTGGATTGTAACCAATCTATTCTGGCTGCAGCATTGGCTCTTTGACCTCGCACTTACTCCAAGCCGTCTGGGTCGTAATCAATCCATTTGTAAATTTTGCACTCCATACCGCCTGGGTAGTACTCAATTAAACCCGGCTGTGATGGTTGCTCTGTTCTTTAATCAAAAGTCGGCTGCCGGAGTTGCTTTGTTCAACCTCAAAACCGGTTGCGGCTATATTATATTATGATATAGCTGCTCCATTTCTTCTTCTTGCCTTAACAAGTCAGACTCGGATGGAGCCGGTCAGTGCTATTAAAAATGTCAGCCCGCCTGGGTTTAATTTAAATCTTGTACAAGTGGCAAGAAGCGTTTGGTGTTTGTGTTAAGATATATATGTAAATATATTCTGTTACTATATCAGTTGGATGTGAAAAATGCTTTCTTACATGGTGAGTTGCAGGAAACAGTTTATATGCATCAACCAGTTGGTTACAGGGATAAGGATCATCCGGATTATGTTTGTCTCTTGAATAAGTCTCTTTATGGACTTAAACAGGCACCTCGGGCTTGGTATAAGCGTTTTGATGATTATATGTTATCTATTGGATTTACTCACAGCAGGATGGATAACTCTTTGTTTATCTACCGCAAAGGGTCAGATATGGCTTATCTTTTGTTATATGTGGATGACATTATACTGACGGCCTCTTCTGATGCTCTTTGCCGTTCTATTATATCTCTTCTTAGCTCTGAGTTTGCTATGAAGGACCTTGGTCCTTTAAATTATTTTTTGGGTATTGCTGTGACTCGACTTAAGGATGGTTTGTTTCTTTCACAGCGGAAATATGTCGAGGACATAATTGATCGTGCAGGGATGTCATCGTGTAAACCGTCTCAAACACCGGTTGACACGAAGTCCAAGATCGGCGCTACTACTAGTGCTCCTTTTGATGATCCATCTTTGTATAGGAGTCTTGCAGGGGCTCTACAGTACCTTACATTCACCAGACCGGATATTTCTTATTCTGTTCAGCAGGTTTGTCTACATATGCACGACCCCAGGGTTGATCATATGTCTGCTCTCAAACGGATTATTCGGTATGTTCAGGGTACTCTTGATTATGGCTTACATTTGTATCCCTCGTCTATTTCTTCTCTGGTTGCATATACTGATGCAGATTGGGGGGATGCCCGGATACGAGACGTTCAACGTCTGGTTATTGTGTATTTTTGGGGGATAATTTGATCTCTTGGTCGTCTAAGCGCCAACCCACGTTGTCTAAATCTAGTGCAGAGGCCGAATATCGTGGGGTGGCAAATGTTGTCTCCGAATCATGCTGGATTCGGAATCTTCTCTTGGAGTTACATTGTCCGATTAAAAAGGCTACCCTTGTTTATTGTGACAATGTTAGTGCTATTTATTTGTCAGGAAATCCAGTTCAGCATCAACGTACGAAACACATCGAGTTGGATATTCATTTTGTACGCGAGAAGGTTGCACGGGGGGAAGTTCGGGTTCTACATGTGCCTTCTCGACATCAGATTGCGGATATCTTTACTAAGGGTCTTCCGCGAGTCTTGTTTGAGGATTTTCGTGACAGTCTTAGCGTCCGTGGTCCTCCCGCTTCGACTGTGGGGGTGTGTTAAGATATATATGTAAATATATTCTGTTACTGTATTTTAGCTAAGCATATATTTAGATTGATATGATTGTAATTAGTTCCTAAATAGGTGCCTTGTATTATGGCTAGCATTATGCGGCTACATTGTATATATTGGGAAGTCAGTGAATGAAATCCCTTGAGGAAAATATTCCATAAACTCTTTCAGTTTGCTTGGCCTCAAACGGCTTAACGGCTGTCATGTAAGCTTGCAATGGTAGATAGATTGCAAATCATTATTATGATTTCCAAAAAAAAAAAATAAAAAACAATAATACCAAGCAACTTACATAGCAGTCGTATGTACTCCACTATTATTATAGTGAGTTTGTCCTTTGTTACTCATAAGTGACACTGATATACATTCGGCAAAAAACTTGCGAGAATTCTTAAACAAGAAATTCATATAGGCAGCAACGCTCAAGAGTATGATGATGAGTTGATTATGTCCAGCCGGCTGCCATCATATTCTAGTCAGGCGGCATAGTTTTTTTGTTCAAACCTCAACTCCGGCTGTAGGATATGCTTTGCTCATCATCAAATCCGGCTGTGAAGTGAGCTAGTAAGAGCTCGATTGTAAACTTATTCAAGCAGCAGCCCACCTAAGCAAGGGTCAGACGCATAGAAACCCGCATGTGTAATCAGAGCAAACCCATTTCTCGAGCAGTTTTCCTCATTAATTAAATCCGGCTGTGTGTGAGTGGCTTGTCCCACCAATATACCCCGGCTGTAGTGACAGCTTTACTCGTCACGAAAGCCGACTGTTGGTGCAGCTCTTCTCGCCAATTTATCCCACTTTCCAAGGCTCAATTGCTCGTCAAATATGCCCGGCTGAGGGATGCTTTGTTCATTTCCAATGCTCGTAAAATAAACTCGGCTGAAGAGGCTTATTTGTTCTTCAGTTAAGTCCGGCTGCAGGACTACTTTGCTCCCAAGTTGAGGTTGGCCGCAGGGCTGTTTTGTTTATCAATCAAACCGGCTGTGGTGGCTGCTGTATGCATCACTTAAGCATGGCTATTTCATGTCTCAATCGAGTGGTTTCCATGTCTGCTCTGTTCTTTTATCAAAGCCGGTTGCAATGGTTGATATATTACTTATCATTATTATGATTAATAAAAAAAAAAAAAGCATGATCGTATTGGTGGAAAAAGAAAACCATGCATGTAGCATATTAAAATATTGCTAGCCACATACAACACCTTGACAACAAACTTGTTGTCATATGACAAAGCTTGTTATTAGGTGGCAATCTGCTAATACTTCTCATTTGTTATTCTCATGCACGAGAATAATATACAACTCACTCAAAAAAGCTTGCTTGGAGTTTTCTTGAGACGGACAGACAACATTAATGTCGGGCTGCCTTGTGCATCCTCAAGCCTGCCTGCAGTGGCATTGTTGCTCATCAATTAAGTTGTTCTGCTTTGTTCATTAACCAAGGTCGGATGTATTGGCTGGTAGGGGTTGTTAAAGTCTGCCCGACTGAACTGGCTGCTTGGATCAAGCGGCTGACACTACCTATTACGCGAGGTATATAAGCGGCCGTGCCATTAGATTGTAATCAACCTAGCCCGGCTATGGCATTGGCTCGTTGAGCCTGACCAATCAATTATGTCCGGCAGCGTGGCAGCTTTGTTCATCATAAAAGAGAAAGAGCCGGTTGACATTACATATTACTCTTATTTATACGGTTGTGGTTATTAATGTTCAAGCTTGGTCAAGTGACTGTTGCTATACATATGACGACATGCCGTCTAAGTAGTGAGCAAGCAATCTCTAATTGTTCTAGCAGTGAACTTCAACTCCATATCTCATTGGTTGAGCTCAATCAGTCGGTAATCATGGGGCCGCTCGACCTCCAATCTAATGCAAAGCTCACCTTGAGAGAGCAGCCGCACCTACCGAATGTAGAGGCTGCTTTGCTCATCTATCCATCTCGGATGTGGGCTGCTTCTTGTCCCAATTAAGCCCGGCTGCACTCAAACCGCTCTAAAGCCAATTTGGATGTGTTCTCTTATGTGAGCAGGGGCTGCTTTGTTCATCATTATTATGAAAAATAACTGTCTGTGTAATCAGTGATAAAAATCATTCTTCAAGCTCAGTTGCTTGACATCTCAAAGCCAACCTTCGAGAACTTGTGTTCAAACATGTATAAGCTAGCACAGGCGGCAAATTAAGTTCAAGGCAAGCGGCATGAAATGACAAATGCCGCATGGTACTACAATAAGGAGCTTGCGATATCTCCGGCTCCGATTCTTAAGCTTTCAAAGCAATTCAAAGCCGCACCAAGCATTTGAATATTGGAGGTAACCATATAATATGATAGTTTAAGGCAAGCGGCATGAAATGACAAATGCCGCATGGTACTACAATAAGGAGCTTGCGATACCTCCGGCTCCAATTCTTAAGCTTTCAAAGTAATTCAAAGCCGCACCAAGCATTTGAATATTGGAGGTAACCATATAATATGATTTTATTCCCTCCAATAATATTAATGCATTAAGATAGTAATGATAGTCTTCATTATTATTATTATAATTGTTATTATTGATTCATTGATTGAATTTCAATATAATCTGGCGAACCGTCCAAACTCCAATAATAAACTAAGTTTGAAACTTAGTAGCTAAACTAACGTCCAAGTGACGTGAGGCCAATGGCCAGATAATAAACTAAGTTTGAAACTTAGTAGCAAACTAACGTCCAAGTGAAGTGAGGCCAATGGCCGGATAATAAACTAAGTTTGAAACTTAGTAGCAAACTAACGTCCAAGTGACGTGAGGCCAATGGCCGAATGATAAACTAAGTTTAAAACTTAGCTAAACTAACGTCCAAGTGACGTGAGGCCAATGGCCGGATTATTATTATTATTAGAGGCCGACGGCCACAGTCTGCTCCAACATGAGTATGACCGTCTGCTCCAACATGAGTCAGATAACCGGCGATGTCCATTCGGGCGAATTCGTCGAGAGAAGCATCTCCCATTTGGGTGGCACATTGCTCTACTAAAACATCAAGCGGCCCTACCGAATGCTAAGGCAGCACTCGCAGTTGTTTGATTTAATCTAAAGTGAAATCTAAAAAGCATAGAGTTTTCCAACTGTTCTAGTACAAATGGAAAACGGCTACTGTTTCATGATTAGAGGCTATCGAGGCCAATGGACGGATAATAAACTAAGCTAAAAACTTAGTGGCTATACAAACCGTCTTAAAAAGACATGAGGCTAATAGCCGGATGGTTATCTGTTTTCTATAAATTTGTCTGCTCCAACATTAGTAAGGCTGTCTGCTCCAACATGAGTCAATAACCGGCGACGTCCATTCGGGCGAATTCGTTGAGGAGAAGCATCTCCCATTTGGGTGGCACATTGCTCTACGAACACATGTAGACGGCAAAGATTGAACGACCTAATTGGTCAACTCATAGTCGCCTGACCTGGGTAATCTAAAGAACGACTAAGTTTTCGGGAACCGAATGTCTAAAAGACATCAGTAGGTGACCGACCGAAGTTCTTACCTAGATTACCTTCATAAATTATACAAGTCCTCCCAATGGGGTAAAAGGACATTGAAAGTATAATTACAAAACTTTCCAGGCGGCCATTTGCCTCCTGTCTTGTCAGGCGGCCATTCGCCTCCTACCTTATGAGATATCAAACGTCTCGAAAATATCCTACCATAGTGGGGCATCAAAGAAATGAAAGTCGTCATCTGTCTAGTTCAAGCGGCAATCATTATTATGATTGATTAACTTAGAAAATGTCATACCATATAAGGTATCAAATTTTTCAAGTTAATCAAATCTCTCTTTTATTGACCTAGACACATGCCGACCAAAGAGCTTTTGAACAAGCGGCAAAGCCTTGATTTCGAAAGGAGAAATTCCTCTTGAAAGAGAAATTACCCCTTTCGAGGGGCTAATGTTTGGGGTAAAATTACCCTCTATATGTGGACCAATGCCACCGCGACACGTGTCCGCAAGCTCAGCTCTCTATGAGCCAATTAGAGCATGACACGTGTCACTCAATGATAGAAGAGTGATAATGGGCTCCAAGACCATAAACCTAGAGCCTTTTAGGTTAAATGACCTAAAAGGCACATATCCCAATGCTCTATAAATACTGATCATTACATCAGTTTCAAGAGATCGAATTCTCTCTCCAAGGGGCAATGCCCCCCACATTTACTCTCCCTTCTCTCTACTTTCTCTCTCTAAAATACATTATATTGATCACTGACTTGATCGTCGGAGGCGGACCTCCGCCCCCCCCCCCCCCCGGGGTCCGTTGTTTTGCAGGTGATCGGGCCGTTCGAGTGTTGCATTGCAGATCTGTCTCCCGAGGGACGTACACACCCTCCATTCGGGTACGTACAAAAAACCCCGAAACAAGTCCGGTGGCTTATTTTCTTTCCTCACAGTCGACTTCCTTCAATTTTTCTGAAAAAACGTATGTGTTCTACATGCGTCTTAGCCCCGGGGGATTTAAGCTCTATCGACCCAAAAACGCTCATGGCAATAAGGGTTCATCCGAGTTATTAAATCCACCCAAACCATGCAGTCGAGTTCGATTTCATCACAAACTCGCGGAGCCGCCCGTTGGCATACACCCTCAAGGGAGGCTGCCTTGCTAACGCGTCCAAACTCTTAACCATGGTACCCTTTTGACACCCAAAGCTTGACCAATAGTTGAACGTAGATCTTGACTCTAGGTTGCGAACTTTTTTTCATCATCGTGCCTAAATGCTATGTGGTTGTTTGGTGCTAACCTTCATGTGTTTATTCTTTTGTTTAACCCATGACCGAGGGTTTTTATTCTCACATAGTAATTAGTACGGACCTAAAATCGGTTAAAATCTAGAAAAATCACAAAATTGACCTGGAACTGCGCACCGTGTCACGGCATTTTCTGCCGCGCCACGGTGAACAGTGTCGTGACACGGGGATGTCTACCGTCTGACAGTCCTTTACGTCATACACTACTTTTT